ACAAATAATGTCCTTAGAGTAACCCAGATTATGGAAAACTAAACTAGATTATTATGATTGTTATGTAGGGTTAGGCCAGCAGGCCATATTTAAACATTATATGAAAGTCACGGAGAACCTGCCTTTACTTTTATTATAAAGATGTTGGTAGTATATAGAATACATTGATTGGTCACTTTTATATCTTGGCTCATTGCTGACTGACTGTACTACATGGGTTCTTTCTGTACATGAAAACCTAGGAGAGGAATTTTATTCAGGCTTCAACTATGTATCATTCCTGTTTTCATTTTTAAAATTGTGTATTAAATAACTGACCAGGTATCTCTCTCTAGGAAGCTCAGAGGCAAATTTGCAGCCAATTTCTAATAGAATGTATAAGAAATTATATTGGATATTTGTGTGCTAATTTTACACTTGGCTTTATCTTTTACTATTTATCTTGATTTTTCCTACCTCATCAATTTCCTGTTATTTTTATGAATTTTTCTTTTATATATATATATTTTTTTTGGAAGGGAGTAGGAGTAAAGATTATGAAATAAGTGGCTAGCTTGGTAATCAACAGATAAGTACACACCCGCACTGATGATTTCAAATTTAGTAAAATGCGGTTCAGATAAATTCACCTACTGTATAACATAACAGATTTGAGGATCTGTTGTATATTTCATTAGAATATCACACAGATTACTTGGTTATATTCTAACTTATTCTTTAAGAGAGTCAGGTTTGTCGTATATGAGAACATAGCCTACCAGGCTCATGATTTTTTTCCTTTGTAAGGAAAATGGGAGAGTACTTTATTAATCTAAGTGATTATGTTTCCTGTTGTACATCTGTAATGCTGTATTTATTATTGTTCAGAAAACTACAAAAAAAGAGAGGGACATTCTTTATGGTAGATTATTTTTAAGTACACAGTGCTTAATTAGCAGAGAGAAAAATTGCCAAAACAAATGAGGAGAGGGATTGTTTTTTGTTGTTGTCTCTCAAGGTTTTACTATAGTGTCAGTGAAATATTCTCTGTATATTTCTGCAGTCTTGTTGATCCTTTTAAATAAACATTGAGTCAGACAGAAGGAAATCATTTCCATATTTGATGCAGAAAATACATATGTTTTCTATTAAATATTTGGGTCATTTTTTTGTTTTAATTGTGGGGATTAATTTACTAGCATGTTCAATGTTTCTCTACACTGTAATTTGTTTTTAATTACACATGAATGCCATATGTAGTTCATTGACACTCTTTATTAATTCTGGAAAGTAAATTTGCTCACCACTCATGTCATTTGTATCATGGGGTGTGTGTTCCTTGTTAAGTGATTCCTTTCTAATTTCTAAATAATTAGCTAATTAAGGGCATGATCCTAGGGTCCTTCTGCAAGGATAACACCCACTGGCTTGAAGACAGCGGGATTTGCCTTTATTGTGGATTGCAGAGCTGACTATCCTCATCATGTTGGTTTTCCTAATTAAAGTCGTATTCATATTTGTGAATGTGCACCTGTTAAAATAAACTTGTTAAACAAGCTTGTTGATTTCTGTAAAGTAAAAGCGGTTGGCTCAATGACGGTAGATGCTTGAGCATCTCAGTGGATTTCAGTAGCTCCACTGATGTGTAGTTATTATGACATCCACAACACTGGCAAATATCTGTAGTTGATCATAGGAGGTTCTGTGTTAAGGAGCAGCATTAGATCTAACCAAACATCCCAGCCCAGCAAAACTAACCCTACTGCTATAAATAAAAATTATGATAATAGCTTATGCTTACCTAGCACTTTACTATTTGCCAGACACTGTTGCATATACAAACTCTGTTAATCATCACAAAAAACTTTTGAAGTTATGCATATCCTAATAATACTGGAATCTTCCAACAGCACTTCTCTGAGCAAGCAGTCCCTTATAGGACTCCTATAGTTTTCGATTAAAGACTCAGTGCATTGCCAAGGCATCCCAATACCTTCACAGCTTGGCTTTTGCCAGCAGGTATGACTTTTGTGTACCACTCTTCACCTTTTCCCACTCCCTGTTTCACCATAGTGGCCTTCAAGTCATCTACAGCAGACTATATGGACTTGACTGAATATATCCTGGGCTGTCCATCCATCTCTTTAACTCTGACTTTGTTTCTGCTCTTACTTCTGCCTGACATTCCTCCTCCACTTCCCATTATATAGTGAAATGCTACTACCTCCGTGTCTAAAATTTCATCCCCTCCTTCATGAAGTTTTTCCTGAATACCACCATTAGTAAAACTCTTGGTGTTCTGTGCTTCTACTGAACTTTTAAGAATGTATTATATTTAATTTATTATTTTAGGTACACACATACTTTTGAGACTTTTTAGAAATAATGGGATTTTTTTTTTTTTACTCTCACATTTCACTCAATAATTTTATTCCATTTTTCCTGTGCATCTTTGACTTCGGTGTATTTGTTATCACTGAGGATGGTTTCTACATCACACAGCTCACTTTCTAGATCACATAACTGTCGTTCCTATGTAAACTGTAATCTAGCACCTTTTGAGACTTCATATGATACTATTGCTGAGATATTTCATCCTAGAAGTCTCAATTCACTTAATCTTAGGACAGATTGTTTTTCCATTTGTCCTATAGGTTTATATTCGTGATCACAACTTCCTAACATTTAAAGTATTTATGTATTTGTTTAATAGACAAATAAAAAGTGGTTATATTTATGGTGTACAACAGGATGTTTTGATGTACGTATACATTATGGAATGACTAAGTCCAGCTAATTAATATGTGCGGCTTAATTCCCTTATCCCAGTACTTATTCTGATCTATGATATATTTATTTATTTACATAAATGAAACATTGCCAGATTAGGAATTCTTTGAGGACAGGAATAGCCCCTCCACCCAAACATATGCAGACACACACGCCTCTACTTAGCCTAGTGTTGCTCTATCTCTAATGGAGTCCTCAGGGCCATTATGGGTTAGCAGAGTTGTTGTCTTCCATATGGACAGTATCTTATAGTTTTGTTTTTAAAAAATATTTTTGTCTTTTATCTTCTAATTTCACTTTACTTATAAACAATTCTTAAGTAGTACATTAGTAGTAATGTATCATTTTGCTTCTAGATAACAGCCATTCCTCAATAAATGAAAGCTTCTTAAACATAGAGTCCTTGTCTTTTTCATCATTTGTTTATTTTGTGTTCCCTGCATACCAGAGTGGCTAAAGAGTGTCTCTGGAGCCAGACTGTCTGGCTTCAGATCTCAACTCTGATGGTACCTAACTGGGTAGCTTTGGGCAAGTTATGGAATCTCTTTGGCCTTTAGATGACATCTGTAAAATGAGAAAAATAACCATATGAGGGGGGTATTCAAAAACTTCATGTAAAGATTCGTATTATGTTTTCATTCTATTTTTCCATGAACTTTTTGAAGTACCTCGTATATGCTTCACTGGGTTGTTGTGAGGCTTGCACAGTAAGACGTGCACAGCAGGTAGAATAATGCCTGACACAGAACAAGCCCTTGATAAGTAGCAATTGTTACGACTTTTCTTCTCCCTCTTGTACCCCCAAGTGCTCCTATTCATACTGTCTCATCTTGCATGTATCATGGTTCATAGGTAACAGAGACTCCCTAAAGGTCTGGCTAGAAGATCCCATAAGACAGTTCCTGATCAGTTTTAGATGAAATGCATCAGCCTATTAAATAGATCTCTGTGAGTGTTCAAAAGCGCTTTTACTTATAATTATTTCTTAAAATACCTCTATCCCATCTCACTATATCCCTTCCATGTTGCTCAGACAAACTCCAGGAAAAGCCTGAGCAAACAGGTAGGCCTTTCAACTTGTACCCTGAATGCACAACTAAATCCAAAGCTAATGAAGTTCGTTCAGATTAAAAGCACTTCATATGCCTACGACAGCTCTTTATATAATGCAGTTAGGGGTAGAAAATTCATGGTATTTCATGCCTACTTATATGCTTTTCATGTGAAAAGATACAGTATAATAAAAATCGAGGATTACTCATGTTAATTTATTATATTTTGCTGATATAGTCACATCAAGGGCTTAAGAAATATACTTCAGCAGCAGTACAAATGAAGGAAGGATGGTTTAAGACATGGTGCATAAATGCTCTCCTTCCTGCCGCTTTTAATGACACTTCATTTAGAAATATACCCTTTTCATAAGGATAACGCTCTATTTTAGAGTTAGTCTTCTTTAGGAAAAGAAACTATAAAATGCATTGAGCTGATTGTTTAGCAAAAAAAATCTAACAAATTATCCCCACATAAATGTATTAAAAATGTAACAAAAATGAAAGGTAGATGCTCCATAATTCTCATGATCATTAACTTTTAGAGGAAATCTATTATACACACCAATTTAGTTTGTTTAATACATTTTGAGAAGCATGTAAATAAGATGTGCTTTATTTAATTTTAATTGGGTGGGTTTCGTGCCTTTGAAATTATAATTGGAACAATTTGTATTTAAATAAAATACAATAAAATCTGTGCTGTCTTTTCACAAGGAAAGGATATTGGAAATATCTTTGGTATGAATCAAGAAACGCATACTGAGAACCTACATACACAGAATGCTAAGTTGGGATGGGAGGAGGAATGGTTGGAACAAAACCAATATCCAGGGAATTGGTAATCAAACTAGACATTTTATAAAACCATATATACATGTCAGCTTAAGAAACTATATAAATCAATATGTAATGCAGGCTAAATGAGGGGTGTAGATAACAAGTGCTAGAAAAATTTAGAGGAGAAAAATATCGTAGTGGACCTGAAACAATTTCTAATCTTCAAAAAAGAGGTCCTATTTAAGAGTCGACAGTAGATTATGTTTAATAAGGAAAGACTAGGTGTGAGGAAAATGGAGTCAGCATAGTCAGGCCCCCTCGCCTCATATCCAGCATATCCAGCTGGGTATGATTCAGCACATCCGTTATAAACCAGTTATGTAAAAGTAGAGTTAGTTCTCATGTGCGCCCACGTACCCCTTGGCTCGTTGCCACTATTGTGTACTTCACTTTGGTATTGAAGGCAGCGGTGGCTGTGAACCGCTGGTCAGCGCAGCCTGCATCTGAAGAATAAAGGATGTCCACTTTGCTGGCAGCTACTCGGTATTTCTTTCTACGACGTGACTCAGGACCTGCACAGGACCAGGTAGAGGATCTGTGATCCAGCCCAACAATTGGTGTAGTTTTGGCAGGATGAGCATGTAAGGGAGCACAGGCCCTTTGGGAGGGGATGGAGATGTGGCTGCCCTCAAGCATGTGGTACCTGGTGGCAGCATTCCTGTGGACTTGGGATCCACTGGAAACATGGGACCAAGTGGATGGTCTCCTGAGAGTGTAGAGGAAGCTCTCAGGGTATCGAGCTCCATGGTGAGAGATGAGGAGTCCCAGAGAATGGCTGGCCGGATGGGCTGGTTGTGGTTTGCTGTACTGTGAGCCATTATGGACTGGACACTCCATGAGGCAGGAGGGCAAAAGACAGACATGCTGGAGAATGAAGTACAGCAACAGGTTACTCCCGTTCCTGAAGCCGAGGATGATGATGACCCTGAGGGTGAATTGGGAGAACCTTTGTAGCTCCTTGCACAACCTGTTGTGCATCAGAAACAGGCAAATCCCTAGCTGCTTGGCTCCTACAGTTGTGGGATCTAGAGGTGGATGGCAAATGTACAGTGTGTGTTAGCATTAGTGGGTACTGGTGCAGATTGTAGCTTGATACATGGCAACCCAGATTAACTTTTAGGGGCCACAGTGAATGTTGATGGTTATGAAGGACAGACTATTATAGTCAAAGCTGTGTCTTTGCTGCTGAGCATTGGACAATTGCCCCCCTCATATGTATACTGTGTATGTGTCCCTGGTAGCTGAGTGCATTTTGGGTGTAGATGTGCTTTATGTTTGCACCTGCAAACAACAGTTGGAGAATTCCAACTGGGGATATAGACAGTAAAGCCTGTGCTGCAGGGACATGTCAAGCATGATCCACAGGTGTTACCCATGCCAAGGCATGTGGTCAATGTGAAACAGTATCATTTGCCAGGAAGATGTGTGGAGATAGGTTACACTGTATTGGAGCTAGAAAAGGTCAGCATCATTCATCCTGCACACCGTCCCTTTAGTACCCTGTTATGGCCAGTGACAAAACCTGATGGGACCTGGATGAATGTGGACTATTGAGAACTGAACAAAGTAGTGTCTCCTTTGCCTGTAGCCATGCCCGTGCCTTCAATTTGCAACTTGATGGATCAGCTAATGACTCAGCTAGGAACTTATCATTATGTACTGGACCTTGCAAATGCATTTTTCTCTATCCCAATATCAGTTGATAGCCAAGATCAATTTGCCTTCACCTGGGAGGGAAGCACTGAAGTTTTCAAGTGTTGCCCCAAGGATAGATGCATAGACCAACCATCTGACATGGTTTAGTGGCTGGGGACCTGCCAAGTGCTCTAGGCCCAGCATGGTTACAATGTTTCCTTGCATAGATGATGTCTTACTTACCTCTGATTCTCTTGCAGATTTAGTCAAGGCAGCTCCAATGCTGCAAGGTTATTTAGAATAATATGAGAGGGCTGTATATAAGGGTCTAACCCTTTGGATATGTACTTGGAAGTATCAGCTGTGGCTGGTAGGTCACTGGCCCCTGCAGGGACAAGCCATGTGGCAAGAGTTATGGGAATTAGGACATGGAAAGGAAGTAAGTCTTTTCCATGTCACAGGACATTCCCCCTTAGCCAGTCCAGGCAATGATGAAGCCGATGTGTTGGCTAAGGTAAGATGGCTAGAGAGACCTCCAGCAGCTGATGTAGCTGGGTAGCTACATTGGAGAATGCAGCATGTTGGCTGCAAGACTGTGTGGTCGATGACCTGCTGGGTGCCACATAAACTCAGGAATGCAGCAGGCTGGTGGCAAGACCGTGTAGTAGATGGCTCCCTGGTTGCCACATAAACCTGAGAAAGAATGCCCCTGATGGGCAGATGTATCCTTGATGGCTCACCAGGTGCTGCATGCAGATAGGCAGAAAATCTGAGAGACGGATGCTCCTAACATGGTGGCAGGTGGATCTTTTGGGACCACTGCCAAAGTCCGAGAACTACAAGTATATCTTCACAGCCATTGATATGTCTACTGGTCTTCTGTTTGTATGGTCTAGTAAGGCCAGACTAGGTAAGCACTTTTAAGGTGTTGGATAGCCTTATGGCCATGTATTGTCAGCCTCTGGTCATAGAGAGTGATAATGGAGCCCACTTTACCAGACATGAAATACAGAAGTGGGCTTCTCAGTGGTCCATTCAGTGAAAGTTGCATGTGCTGTATCATCCCGAGGCAGTGGGAATGATTGAACAGTACAATGATCTTCTGAAAAAGGGACTAAGTCTATCCACCCAACCCTCATCCCTGAGGGGTGGACATGGCAGTTATGGCTGACAGTCAGGATCTTAAATGAGAGACACTGCAAGGACATCCTTTCCAGTGGAGGCTCTGTTGCATAGAGCTGCAGCAGCTGTTCCTACAACCATTCTTTCCAGGATGGTAAGCTGGCATGTGTTCTGCCAGAGGGACGAGAACTCCCTCTATTGGTGCCAATAACCTTTTTGTCTTTTCATCCATAGTACTGTGGTTGCAGGCACCAGGGTTGACTGGACACATGCATATGTTCATGTGGCTAATGTGGCAGCTTGCTGAACATGCACTGAGATTCCTACCAGTGTTGCTGCAGGATTCTTGTGGAAAATCACCCCAATGATGACTACTAACTGGACATGTGTATGGGTGTGGTTTTTGTGGCTAATAGTTGAAAGGATAGAGCTATGGGCACAAGCCTCAGGTGTATTAAACATACAATAGGTACAGAGGTTATATGAATGGGGTCAGCCATCCTGGCTAAGGGAACATTGTAGAAGATTCTGAACACATAGAGGAAAGTGGAAAGTTGATTTGGTCAGGCCCCCTCACCTCATATCCAGCTGGGTATGATTCAGCACATCCATTGTAAACAAGTTATGGAAAAGTAGAGTTAATTCACATGCATGCCCGTGTACCCCTTGGCTCATTGCCGCTATTGTGTACTTCACTTCAGTATTGAAGGCAGCAGCTCTGAACCGCTGGTCAGCAGAGCTTGTATGTGAAAAATAAAGCATGTTTACTTTGCAGGTATCTACTCAGTTTTTCTTTCTACTACCTGACTCAGGACCTGCACAGGACAGGGTAGAAGAGTCTGTGATACAGCCCTATACTAGCGAAAGGGTGTAGTTGATTAAAGGGTGTAATAGACAGAGACACATGTACTGAGAAACAAATGAAGTGTAAGGAGCATGGGCCCTTCACAAAGCCCATTTTGTATTTGTAACATTCCTTCCTTCTTTCCTTCCTTCCTTCCTTCCATTTTTCAGGAGACCTCCCAGGTTGCATAAGCTTTAGATCCCACAAAATCTCAATGTTTATTTGGTAATGAACCAAAATTGATGGGGGAAATAATTTATTGTTAGGACAATAAATGGACTAGTCTTGACTGAGCACAGGGCTCATGTTAAAGTGTTCCAGGAGAAAGAATGGAAGGGTAGATCAGGACCACACAGCAGAAGTCACTCCTTTTCATACTGAAGTACTAAATCATTTGAAAGTGTATCGTGTGTTATAATAGAAAACCAAAAAACATGTTAAGGGAATGAATATTTATTGAGCTCTTACTGTATATAACAGAGACTGATAATCATGTATCTCATGTAGGCTTAATAGTAATCATAAGAGACAGAGATCATTATTCTAATTGAAGGAACTGAGGCCCCGAGAGGAAGCTTCTCCAAAGTTATAAGGTAAGTAAATAGTGGTTCTGGGACTCAAAACACATCCTTCTGACTCTAATACCCAGTCTCCTCTCTCCATGCAACAGAAGTATGGGAAGATGAATTTGATGGTGATAGTCAAAATAAGGTGAATGTGAGAAGAAAGGAGAACCAGGAAGCAGAAAAACCGAAAGCTATTGAATAGAAACCTCAAGAATTAGATAATATGAAGCACATCAATGCCCTTTCTGTTGTTTGGGAAGCAACAAAATAGGAAAAAGTAGGAAAACTTATAATAAAGAAATATTGTATGCTAGTAAAAACCACTCTGAGTTAAAACCACCCATATCGCTGCAATATACAACAAAAAAGATGAAAAAGAAGCAATAAAAGTTAAATTTTTACTTCTGCCTAAAATATCTACTTCTTGATTTGCTAACATTTTTAACTATAAAAAAATATGGTGGCTGTTCTTGATAATAGAATACTATCTCCAACTCTTATTTTTCATATATTTACTTGTACTATGATTACTTTTAAACATGTTTCACTAGATTACAACTTCCCTGTGGACAGAATCTGTGACTGTTGTGCTTTAGCAGAGCTAAACTCATTTTTTTACACGATGTTAATATCTACTGAACACACACACACATTATAGACATTTTGATGTCTCTTTCTTTTTTTACATCAGTTTTGAAAACCCAAAGGTTTTCCTGTTATGAAGGAGTGGAAGAAGAAGAAAAAAGGGTTTAGATTTAATCAACAATCAGGTCACATGCTTACAGGGAAGAGAAGCATACCGGCTGTTCTGAAGAGAAGTAAAATGACATAGGGATATCAGATAGGACCATTTGTGCTTTGGGTGGTGTGTTTTTATACCAGTGCTTTATTTTATCAAAAAAAAAAAAAACCACAAAAACTATTCATGATTATTTTATAAAATCTTATTGGTTTCCAATGTATCTTCCATTTTGTAGGAGGATTTACCTTTCAAATTATATTACTTTTCCCTTTTTTGGACATTATTAATTAGCTCCCCATAACTTATATTTTGAAGAAGCAGTATAGTGAATAGAAGTGAATACCTTGGAGTCACAAAAAATCCTGGTTCAAATCCAAGGTCAACCTCTGCTAACTGACTGGCCTTAGCCAAGGTTTTTGTTTTGTTTTGTTTTGTTTTTAGTTTAATAAATCTCAGTTTCTGTCTGTCCTTACCTCACTCATAATGAGTATGATTATACTTGAGGGTATAATGAGGAGTAAATCAAATAAGCCATGCAAATATTAGGTTTGGTATCAGTAAGAGTGTTGGGAGCTGCCCTGAATGCAGGGGTCCCCTTGGGGGCACAGCTCTCGTCCATCTGTATCCAGCTGACGAAGCTTCATGAGATCAAAGAGAAATGTTTTGAGAACAGCAGGAGATGTTTTGAGGAAGTTTATACTTTTGACCTAGGAGCATTCCTGAGAACTTGGGAGTGTGAGCTATTCCTGTAAACCCACACATCCAGTTGCTTACACAGAACTTGTAACCCTTTGTTTAGACATGCACTTAGAAAAGTATATAAAGAGAAATGCCTATTGAATAAAGCGCAGCAGCCCTCGAGACTGTTTGTCCTCCTGACCCCATCTTTTGTCTCTTGTCTCTTTTCTAATCCTGCACTCATCTTCTCTGCCTGCCATCACCGGCTGGATTCCGG